TATAAAGACAACGCCTTTCCTTTACGTTTCATGTCTTTAGGCTTCTCACAAAGCCTTAAGCCCTTAATCAATTTGATTCTGACTTAGTTTAATTATTACAGAAGTCCACAATGACCAATCATGGGTCCACAAATCCAAAATATCCTTCTGTATGAACAGTACCCTTACTGTCCTCGAAAACCCAGAATATCCAGATATATGTCGGGGCTATATCCGGATATCATATCTGGATATGCATATCTGGATATCCATATTCGGATATCTCAAGACCCCATATCCGGATATCAATATCCGGATATCATATCCGGATATTTCGCGACAGAATGCAGTTCTGCATTTCGCGAGATATCCTTTCGAAAGGTTGCTCTTTTAGCGATTCCAGAAGCTTAAACATGCATTTCTAGGTGTGTTTAACCTTACCCAACCTCAAGTTATTAACTTTAGCTTATTACATGCATCAAGACTTCATTTTTAACCATTAAACTCATGATCAAGATAAGGAACGTACCCAAGGCTTCAAAACAGGAGCTAGAGGTGCTCTTGGAGCTCACAAGTCAGCTTCAAGGTGCTGACACAAAGGGTGCACAAAAATGGCACACAAAACTTGGTTTTTCTTCACAAAGGTTAGCACTTGGAGCTTCAACAACCAAGACAAAGGCTCCAACACTACAAACCAAGGACACAGCCCCCCACACTCACACAAAACAGCCACCAACACTCAGAAATGGTGCTCCTTTCTCACTCACAAGGATGGTCCACACTCACCCAAGGTGTTTAGGTGAAGGAAGAAGAAGAAAGGTTCTCACTTGGAGCTTCAATGGAGGTAGAAGAGAATGGAAAGGTGGCTGACTCCACTCTTCAGAAACTCCCACGCAGCAAGGCACAAAATGACCTAGGATCATGTGCCAAGGTCTATTTATAGGCCACTTAAGTCTTAATCGCACTGTATTAGCGCTAAAAGCTACGCTTCGCATTTTAATCCCAAACTTAGGATTCTGAACCTACTCGTTTTTCTAAGATTTTCATATTTTTATTTTATTTTTCGCAGCACCTTTCCGGTACGCGCTTTTACATAGCCAGTATCAGTTCTGGCACCAGTTTTCATTATTTCGACTTGAAACTTGTTTTCCTAGTGCTATATATTTTTCTAGTGACATCTACATACTTTTCATAATTTTCTGGGATACTTCATCGGTACACATTTATATGGTGGAGTAGAACCGATATCTGCACTTTTTGTCAGAAAAACGACTTTCAGCATTCTTAATCACTTACCATAATTATTTAAGCCTTCTCATAATTATTAGGGTCAATTATGAAATTATTTCATAATTCTCATATTTATTTATTTAATTTCCTAAATTAACGTTGCTGGTCATTATATTTTGGACATATTCTGGACTTTACCCTTAGTGGACCTATTTGTAGTTTATCCAGATCAGCTCTCAAGACAAAATGTGCTATAATAGGATGAATGACTTATTGATATCCAGTTATATTATTTATAATTGCACCGTTGGGATCTATAAGCCCATTATGTTCCTTTTGGGGATAAGTCACTGTATGGATGATACCCTTAGCACAGGTACAGACCAAGCTAAGGAGTATTGTGCCAAGCAATAGCAGTTAATCAACAAGGGATAAGCAAAGATGACAATATGACTCTAAGTAAATGGGCAATATAACGATACATAAGATACCTTCAAGGTGTGCCCTTGGGGGCTATTTATAGGAAAAATAGTGTGAGTTGGTGAGGAGGGGGTCAACCTTCCTTGGGGTTTACTCCCATGATGGCAGTGTTAGGCCTGCTGGCGCTGTCATTGTGGCAGCGCTGCGCCCTCTGCGTCTGGCGATGTCAGCACTGGGCAAAGGGGTAGTTTCCCTTTAAGGTGCTTGTGGCGGTCGCCTTTAGGGGTTAGCGTCCTAAGATGGGACACTTCGGTGTATCCCTTGGACGTGCTGCAACGTTGGGGGATGAGAGGGTCCACGTCAGCCCACGTCAGCCCTTAGGGCTGACGCGGGTTGGAGCTAAGGATTGGGCCTGAACAGCTGGGCCGCTTCAGTGTTTGGGCCATCCGGAACAATAATATTCCCAAACTATTCGATGAATACCAAATTAATAAAATTCGAGTAATTATCAAACTCTATAAGATCTTTAATTCAAATTTGGAGCCTGATATTAATATGTTTATCTAGTACATTCTCCTACATACTAATTGATTAATTAATTTTTGTCAACAAGAATTAGAATTCGGCTTTAATTACTTTCTTCAACCTAAACTTCAATAAAACATTATTATGGCTCGTAAATTATTCAGCTGGTAATTTTGCATTGGCCGTGCTCATTCAATAGTAAGCCAATTTCTTAACTTATCAACTACATTCTTTTAAATTTTGTCACCCTAGGTAATTGCTTTAAATTCTATAATGTTGACACCTTTCAAAATAACTGCCCATAATTACAACTTTTGGGGTGCACAAAATGTTAAGTTGACACTGATGCTGCTCACAAATGAGAATGGATCTCTCATATTATGATTTCATATAGGAGAATTATATAAAAATTTTGTGCCTATTTTTTTTTTATCAATATTAACAAATTATAAATAGATCTCATCTATTTAATGTATATATATAAAAAATATATAAAAATTCATATGAATTTTTAACATAGAAATGATTTTGACCGGAAGAAGCTGTAAGCCCATATGTCTACTTCAATTATGAGCATAAGTCAATTGAAGAACACTCTTAAAAAATATATTTTATTACGCGTTTTCTGTTGACTAAACTTTCAGCTTCGTCAAGTTTTACTCATGTCAATTAACATTACTCATATCATATCTTAAATTTCTCCCAACGACGATATTCATTTGGAGAATAATGATAATTGTATAAATTTTATTTTCATAAGCTCATTCTAAATTTCAAGATAAACTAATTTAGAATAGTTAATAATACTATAGTAAAATAAATTCTTATCCATGAAAATTAACGAAAAACTTCCTAAAATAAGAAATTGTAATTTTTTTTTAATGGAATTATACTCTCCTTATCCATGAGGGTGTTTCGGGACACACATGTCATGTGAGAAATGAAAAAATCTAAGGTGCTTCAATTGCATTGAAATTAGTGAAATGATAGTGTATTTCTATTAGGATATATAGATGAATTATGAGATTTTAAAAATTTCTACAAAGTTCATCTACACATCTTAATAAAAATACATTGGGAAATCATATTCTTCAGCAACAGGCAAATGGATCTCTCATGCAGTAGATACATTTTTTTAAAGTGGGTCCCATTACTTAATAAAATAAAATAAAAAAATTGTTGACACTATTCTCCATGGTTGTGCAGGAAAAATTCATATCCTCTGCGGCAGAAGAAAATATAACCCCAAATACATTACAGGTACAATATATGCAACAGGTACACCGAAAATGCGATCTCGCGATAAAGACACTCTGCACAAAGAAAATACTAGAATTTTAAATACGGTTATTACACGTCACGCAAGCTAATTGGGTGACAGCTTTGAAACTTTAAATGTGGACAGGAATGCGAAGTGAGTCGGTGCACTTCAATGTGCAATGTCGGGAGATTTATTTACTATATTGTAGTATGAAAAACTCAGACCGTAATCTACTAAATTTAGATAATATTGATGTATTTATATACTCTACTTATTCTTTTATAATTAATGCTATGCTTTACTTGGCAAAAAAAGCATATACTACAAAATCCCTAAGATTTTGGCAATGTCAAGGCAGAAGAAATTTTAGGAATATTTCAGCGTCTAATATGCACCTCAATGGCATAGACTGTGATGACAATATTTTTTTCGGGTACCGTGTAAATTATCACCGTCATCCGCGTGCCAGTTGTTGCCGCACCTTTTTTCACAAATCAACATCACCAACAGGAGTGAATTCTCTTGTGTACTAATTAACACGATCATATTATCTGAGACAACCATAATTATACATAAGTGAATTAATAAAAATAAAGGAAGAGACAGAAAAAATATAAAGATAAAAAGTTACATAATCATCATCGTTGATTTAATTCTTAATAATTAAAATCTTCTTACGTGACATGATTACATGAGATGATTCATTTTCATCCTCAACATTCATTTCTCAAAGGAGATTAATTCAATTAATTTTTTAAAAATATACATTAAGAAAATAAAATTAAAAAATATATATAATTTAAAATCACAAATAATATGTATCATTTTTTAAAACTAGACTTAAAAATTAGCATTTCCTAAATATAATATGAGTTTTGCATCTATCATTTAACATGACCACAACAATTTTCCTACACACACAATATTTTGTGGGACTTGCAATTTTTGAAACCAAAAAAAAAAAAAACTCTGACACGTAAAACGAATCTCTATAACATAACACAATTACTTTTCCTACGACATAACTCTTATAAAATCCATATAATATATAATAACAGATGTTTTGATGTCTGAAACAAAAGTTTTGATGTAAAAAACTTAAAATAAAATTATTTAAAAATAAATTACTTTTAAATACAAATAGTCAGAGTTTAAAAAGAATATTTTAAAAATAATAATCATTCATTTGGAAATAAAATAAAATACTAAAAAACAATTAATTTACGTACGTTAAAATAATCAATATTATATATAGAGATGGATTTGTAAATTTTTTTATATATAATACAGTAATTTAAAAATTATACATTCTTTTTTTATGAAACCAGATAAAAAATGTATTTTTCATTAATTATATTAAATAAAAAATGACGATTGCTTTTTCTCTTTCTTTTTTGGTGACTCTCTTACTTTTGTCTTCATTTTGAATTTATTTATTTAGATCTATTCTTTTCTTTTCCCTCTCATAGTAAGATAAGCACATGTGCTCTGTTAAAGTAATTCGTACTAAAAAGCAAAAGCAAATGTTGAACTAGTACAATAAAAAAGAAAAAGAAAAAGAAAAAGAAAAACAGTGATCCTAGATTGTGTTCAAGGACATCACGCCGTGTTACTCTGCGGATTAGTGTCGGCTGCTGAAGCATTTAATAAGCCAGCTCCCTCAACTGGGTTTCACTCACTCAGATTTTTCCAAGTACACCACCCCATCTTCAATTCAAGGTTCAGCTAATGAGCTTCATCATCATCATCTGCTTTATGCAAAATGTTTATGTTTTTGTTTTTGTTTTTTCACCATCAATTTGAGGGGTTCGAAGTTTCTTTATTAATTGGGATTAGATTGCAGGAAATGTTATTGAATTTAGCTTTATAGTGAACAGTTGTTGATCTGGGAAGTGTTGGAATGTGATTAATGATTTTTTTTTTTTTGGTATAAGTTTCGGGGTGCATGCAGGTTGATATGTTTTCTTTTGTGTTGTTATGACCTGATATTCAAATATGGAAATGCTAGTCCGTGTATTTTTCATTCTAGGTACCAACTAGTTTGTTGAATAAATTAAGCTTTTGGGCACCAAATAGATGAATTAGTTAACTGATTCTAAGATTGTCTTATAGATTTGAAATATTTCAATCTTCCTTTGCAAAAAATAAAAATAAAAATAAATAAATAACAATAATAATGTAATGTATTGTTTAGATGTTTAGATTCTTACATTATTTGTTGAATATGTGAATGATATCGTCCATAATTTTCTATTTTAAGATATAATCTCGATTTTCTAACAATATTGTCCATAATTTTCTTTCCATATTCTCTGTATCTTTCCGGATTTTTGTTTTACTTTTTTAAATCTGCATATCCGTCAATACAAGATCTGGAAATCGATATTTTTTGTTCCTCTATATTAGAGGTTTTCCACAAGAGTTAAGAAGGATTTCTAAAAGCCAGAACACAAGTCAATATCAAAGGTGCGGTTTTGCACTTTTGCTAGTTCTTACATAATTCTAGGATCTCCTCTGTGTTTTTCCTTCTCTATAAACAAAATCAAACTTGTTGGTGTTGAAGAATTTTTTAATTGGAATAATATAAAAAAAAAAAAAGTTTATTACTGTCTGTTAGAAAGATGAGTAGGTACATTAAAGTCTATTGAATAGGTGCTTTAAAGTCTATTTAGTTTGTGTCTGTTACAAGGTGAAAGGTTGCTACGAGTCATTTATGTTTCAGTTTTGTATTGCCTATGATAAATAGGCTTGATGTATGAGAAAGAAGATGTGCATGTCTTCTTCATTTTCTGGTTTTTTTTTTTTTTTTTTTTTTTGATATTCTCATTTTCTGGGCTTTACTATTTCAACAGTTGGTTCATTGATTTTATGTTTTTTAAATTAGAAGAAAAAAGAATTTTATATTTTTTTGTTAATGGGAATGCAGAAGAGATGGATTAGCAAATAACAAGAAATGAAGAAAATATAAAATTTTCTCCGTTTTATATGTGAAAGGGTTTATTGTAATGTGACTTTTTTTTTCTTTTTATCCCAAATAATATGGCTTTATGTTGATTAATTATATGCCCTATTAATACTTTTAAACAAGGTGCTTCACATTTCCTGTTTTTTTTTTTTTTTTTTTTTTTTTGATAACATCACATTTCCTGTTTTACATGCATATGTTTATGGTTTTTATTTGCTGGATTCCTGCAGAATGGAGAGCACAAGAATGAGCCAATGGTTAAGTCTCCTAATATGTGGACTGCTATTACTAAAGGCAGAAGGGATTTCCGTGCGAATAACTTATGTTGAAAGTGCAGTACCAAAAGGAGCTGGTGAGGAATTTCTGCTGTGTCTGATGATAGGGAATACAACTATTTTTCTCATCATCTTCTGGGTCACTATTTTTATCACTATTTATATTAGTTTCGAAATTGATCTTAAAATCTTGTGCAGTTTGTTTGGATGGAAGTCCACCAGCTTACCACTTTGATAAGGGAGTCGGAGCAGGGATTAACAACTGGATAGTTCATTTTGAGGTATGTCCCTTTCTGCAAACTGGTATCGATAATGAGTCTTTACCACCTCAAGAAAACACTCATTTCTTTGTTTGTTTTACTTGTATGTTCCTTTTATGTGTATGAAGACATGTTTATGTCTAACTCGTAAATGTAAAATGTGGTTATTGAAATTATAGGGGTTTTGCGAGGGAAGAGGAAAAGAGAGAACAAACTCTGAATAATAGAACATAATATTGATATATATGGTATGTAAGTGTTACAAAACACAAATCGCTAACCTCTATGTATACTAATATAGGTCCTCTAATCCTAATTAAATAAGAAAACAAATAATGAAATAAAATGAAAAATGGAAATTATTCCTAAAAGTCATGTAAGATATTTTAAAATATTCTGTGATACAATAATGATAATATGAGATATTTTATAGATAGGCTAACATTAGTCAATTAGCATGTCTCCTTCTTTGTACAAATAATGGAAAGTTCTTTTTTCTTGTTAATGGTCTACAAAGCAATTTCTTTTAGGGAGGAGGATGGTGCAACAATGTCACCACTTGCCTTGACCGTAGGGACACTCGATTAGGTTCATCTAAGAAAATGGATCAGCAACTTTCCTTTTCTGGATTTTTCAGTAACAGCCAAAAATTTAATCCAGGTATTGTCTACTAGTTAATATATGTCGTGTCCTCGTGAACCCACCATTTTGTTTGGCTCTCTAACAAGTATTGTAAATTCCAGATTTCTACAATTGGAACAGAATCAAGGTTAGGTACTGTGATGGGTCATCATTCACTGGTGACGTTGAAGCAGTGGATCCAGTAAGTTTTGCAAATTCAAAGGAACTTGAAATTTAAATTTATAGGAAAATATTTATATTTCATAAAATTTATTTGCTAATTTTCTTTCTGCTGAGATTTTATAATAATATGATCTATAAATCAGGCAACCAATTTGCACTTCAGAGGAGCAAGGGTTTTTGTTGCTGTCATTGAGGATTTACTAGCAAAAGGAATGAAAAATGCTAAAAATGTATGAGACATTCATGATTTGCCTTTTTTTTATCTTCCTCCTGAATGAGATTTTCAATCAATCACTGAAACTTGTAACTACAGGCAATTCTCTCTGGATGTTCAGCTGGAGGATTGACTTCTATTTTACAGTGTGATCACTTCAAAGCTCTATTACCTACATCAACTAAAGTGAAATGCCTTTCAGATGCTGGTTATTTTATCAATGTGTATGCTGCTTTAATTTGCTTTTGAGTTAGCCTTTTTTTCTGAATTTTAAAGTTCCTTAAGACATTTAATGATTCAATACCTTATTGTTATACAACAGAAAGGATGTCTCTGGAGCACAACACATTCAAGAGCTCTACAGTCAAGTTGTTGAAACACATGTACTCGTCCTCTCGTTATTTCCCTCTTTGTCAAAGCTATAGTTTATGTTGTGTTTTTTACACCAGAAAATTGCTCTTAAATGTTTTCCCACTTTTCATTTGGAAGAAACTTTCTGAAGCTTTCATTTGACGCAGACTGATTTTTTCTTCTTCTATATTTTAGGGTTCAGCGAAGAATTTGCCTACATCCTGCACTTCAAGACTCAGCCCCGGGCTGGTAAGTTTGTATATTGTAAGTTTTCTACCTTCCCAACTTCTTTGGGGTTACTAATACTGCTGAACAATCATGTAGTGCTTTTTCCCGCAAAATGTGGCATCACAAATCAATACACCGATCTTCTTTGTAAATGCGGCCTATGACTCATGGCAGGTCAGATTATACTGTTTCTGAAGATACTTCAGTTTGTTTTTGGAGTTGTGCTCGTTTGGAATATATTTGTCATACTAAAATCTTGAACTATGATTATATTCTTTGATCAATTGGTGGACTTATAAGATCAAGTAACATTTGATAGGATATATAACACGGTAAAGTAATGATCATTGAAGGGAAATCTAGTGTTGCTTCCGGCACTTAACTTTTCACAAGATTCATAAATGAGCCTTTGTTCAGAACTTAATAGATAAGACCTGAGATATTAACCTGGAATTGCAAGTGAAAAAGTTCATGGTTACTTAATGATGAAAATTCTACATACAAATCCAACTGGGATATGATCAGAAATTGAGCCTAGATTATTGTACATAATATTTTTATCGTTGCATTTCCTGCTTCACTCAACATCTTGTTTTTCAAAGAGAACTCAAGAACATTATAAATGCTATATGGCTGAATGCAGAATCTTCCTTGCACAACAATAAGATGCTTAATAACTCATTTCCATCATGAAATTGACATTTAATATTTTCACTTACTATTGGGTTCCACTTGCAAGGTTTGGGGATTACAGTCTGATAAGGACCAACCAATTAATCAATGTAAAATTGAGCTTACTCAAGAACTCAGATCTGAATATTCCTCGTTCATATATTTCATAGCAACAATTACTAACAGAAACGTCATAACAGTAAAGTTGTAACGTGAAAGAAATTACAGAATCCAAATGAAAATAACAATGCAATAAAGGTAAAGATAATGTGGAATACATGTGAGAGGTTCCACTCTCTCCCAAATCCCAAAAGGGCCCAAGTTCATTCAGATTTTCCAGATACCCTCACTCTTCTCCTTCCATGCTATTTAACCATCCTATATATACATGATTTGCTGAGTTAGCAAAGGCTGGGCTCACATTATTTTAATCCTTCCTATATATACATGATCTTGGGCCCGATCTTATCACAGTCTCACATTAGTTGTATGGGCAACCAATGTGGGATTTATAAGGCCTTGGGTACTCTCACTGTTTGAGCTAGCTTTTGAAGTGGTGCATCCTAAGGTCTCATCACTTACTAACTGGTCTTAGTAAGTGGTGTCATCTTTGTAGTCTTTTCTCTGATCCTCGACATATTGCTTTGATTCAGATTAAGAACATTTTGGCACCCGGTGTTGCTGATCCCCATGGCCAGTGGCGTAACTGCAAGCTTGATATAAAAAACTGCTCACCTGGTCAACTAAATACAATGCAAGGTGAACATTTCTGATCTTAATTACTTGTGTTGCACTGAAATTTGCTGATAGCTAAATTCTGGAAAATTGGTAAAACTATTCCTTTGTGACTGAAAGATCATGGGGTCGCCCTTAACCCTATCCTTGCTGGTCGTGGTTTAATGGGGAGTGATTTTTCTATCAATACTATATCATTTGTTTATACCTCTTAATAAAACTGGCATGAGAAAAAAAAATGTGTGCTGGAGTCATACTCTGCCATTTGAGTAAAAGCTTCTAGGGGACTATGAAATTCCTAACTGCGAGATTTTACAACAGTTTTGTGACTTCACTTAATGGATGAATTGATTTTCAGGTTTCAGGACGGAATTCTTAAAGGCTTTGAGTGTGGTTGGGAACTCTCCTTCTAAAGGAACGTTCATAGATTCTTGCTATGCCCATTGCCAAACTGGAATGCAAGAGACATGGTTGAGAAATGACTCTCCACTGCTGGCCAATACTGTAAGATATGAGACTGCATTATTTTCTCCCTTCTCCACTATATGTACATTTTCATGTGGCTTTTGGTTTCTTATATTGTCTTTCCCTTTATATAAAGTTGTAAAGCTAACTTGTTTTGCTTAAACATTATGCAGACAATAGCAAAGGCGGTGGGAGACTGGTTTTATGAACGAAGGTCTTTCCATCAGATAGATTGCACTTACCCTTGCAACCCTACTTGTCATAACCGTGTTTTCGATCCTTAAGTCCATGCAGGAGTATAGAGTCATTTAAGCAGTATAATATATCATTTCTACAAACTACTCTTATTGTTATTAAATGAGAAAATATGATTTGTAATTTAAAAGCTTTCGAAGTAAATAAAGGCACCCTCGACCATTGTTTTAATGTTACAATTGGTGTCCTCTTGGAATATTATATTTTATGCTATTATTACTTGATGTGCCAACTGTGTACTGCACTGAAAAGCCATTGTAAGAGAGGGGTTCCTATATCATTTTAGATCCTACTCAATGCACGAATCTCTCACCTCTGTCTCCTCACCACTCACACCTGTTTGCTTTGGTTGGATTTGAGGCTAGGTTTGTGGGTTAAGCAGAGCAATAGATGAAGGTTTGGTCTTCGTTTAGAAGGGGATGTTCGTTGGTGTGATAGACTACTAGCAAATAGTTTTGTTTGTTGGTTCTGTTTGGAAAGAACTATTTCAATCCAAAACTTTAAGGTGTTAGTTGAGGGTTTTTTATATTATTCTCTGGTTTTGTGGTTTCTACAATGCAAATGACAAAATTAAAAGTGCATGGATCATCATAAGGTATACACGGCAAAGGTGAGTAGGAATTTCTCCGGCACATCAGTGCTCAACAAATGCAAGAACTAAAAGTGATTAGTTTTGAAAAATCGCGACATCAACTTAAAAACTCAAATTAATAGGAAATAAACCAAAAAGGTGATATATTTATAAGAACCAAAAATATGAAATTTATCACATTAAAAGAGCTTAGTTGGTGTGAGTTAAATCTCACTGTTTACTTCTTCCCAGGATTCTGCATAAACTTCGAAGTATTGTAGGGTGTATTTTGGTACAGGTTTTATTTTGGGTTTGATGAGAAAGTGTGGGTAGGTACTAGAAAATATCATATTTGGTACAAGTTTTTGAAAAAAAAATATCACGAGTCTTGGAAGGATAAGAAACTAGCCTTGTGTTAATTTTTGGGTGAAAATCACTGATCCAAAATATCACTTGAGTGAAAAAAATAAAAAAATGGGTGCAAACTTATGGACGAAATTGACCCTGCAGATCTACCACTTATGGACGAAATCTTGTTGGCCTCTAGCCTCCACCATCCTTTTGTGCCTTACTAAGCTCTCTTTCCATTTCTGATAACTTCTCCAAACTCTTCTGATACTCCAAAAACTCTTCTAGTACTGAAGAAAGATAGAATCCTTGTCAGACTACTTAATTGAATACAGCTCTAGTATCTTATTGTATATGGGGCTTCTTGTTCCAGCAGCTTCCACAATTCAAAATCAGGGCAACTGTCAAATAAATAAATAAAAACAAGAAAAAGTTCAAATGGGTGAGCAGCAAAATCAGATGAGACCCAAAACCCCGGGGCCCAAAAGCAAAAGGAGGTTCCTAAAATCTATAAAAAAAAAAATGGATCATACATTTAACACATGTCTCTTTCTTCTTCTTCTACTACTTTTTTTTTTCTTTGGGGAAAGAATTAGCAGATACCAAGAGATCCTGAAGATGAACAGCATAAATCACGCACCAAATGACAAAAAAATAAAAGTTAATCAGTACAGGAAATCTACCACTAGCACTGCTAGAATCAAATGCAAAATAGTCATTGATCAAATTCGTTTCCAGTAAACCATTACATCCAAAACATGAAGGGGAAAAGAATAAAAGAGAAGAGTAAAAAAAGGCTACAGGCACGGAAAAGCGAGTAACGAGGGTGTTTTCGTCGATTCAAGTTATTTTTTCATCAATATTTTACGATCAACCAAAACTAGATTTTGCAAATTTAAATAAATTTTTCCGGTAATATTTCTGTTAACCAAATATCTTGTTTTAAACTTTCCTACCAAACTCACTTTCCTACTATATTCCTAATAATTATATTTCCCTAGTAAAAGATTTTATCTCCCCTACCAAATGCTCCCTAAGGATCTCTTTGATTGAATTTTTTTTTGAAAAAAAAGAACTTTTTATGGCTTGATTATGTTAGAAGAATTTTTTTCAATAGTTAAAATTATTTTGCATTTATATTTTAACAAAATATATTATTTGGATGTTAAAATTAAAAAGTATTTTTTATCTATAAAATTATAAAAAGGGACACGTGAAACAAATCATGGGAGCAAATTTGATAGCAATGATGGTGAATGTGGGTTGATGGTGGTAGTAGGGGGTTGGGGGGCGATGGTGGCAGCTATGGTGGTGATAGAGGAGTGGTGGTGATGACGACAAAGGTGAGATTGTGGGGTTGGGGTTGTGGTGCTGGCGGTAGCGGCAACGTGATGGTGGAGGAGGAAGAGGTCGTGGCAGTAGTGGTGATAGCGAGGGAGATGAGATTAGTTGGAGTTAGGGCAAATTTAGATTTTGAAAAAAATATTTGACTTTTATTTTTTTAGAAGTAGAAGTTTTAGTTTCGAAAATAAATAAATAAGTTTTTGCCTTTTTTTAAAAAGCAGTCATCTAAACACCAATTTATAACGAGAAGGACACTAACAATCTAGCCCTCTTCTTTTAAATGTGTAAGAATAAGCCATCATCAACATAAGAAAGGAATCCTAGTGTTAATATATAGGAGGGATTTTTCCTACCTTGAACAATCATCCTGACATGTAATGCTTTCAATGCTGGATTGCTATTGCGATAACACCAATTCCATGTCTAGATGCATCACACTTGATAACAAATTCTTTGGTAAAGTTAGACAATATTAACACGGGGAAAGAACTGAGGCATTGCGTAAGTGTATCTAAGGCTAATTGTACTTTTACATCCCATTTGAAACCTTCTTTACTAGTAAACTCCGTGAGTGGCCTAGCTATATTCCTATAGTCCTTGATTAAGCGACTATAGTAACCAGTTAGACCACGCAATTTCCGAACCCTTTTTATATTTGTAGGAATTAGCCAAGCAGCTTACATATTTTCCCGACACACCCAAAGAAGATATTAAATGACCAAGATATTCATTGGATTGTTGTAAAAAAAGCACATACACACATACACTTTGGCACAAAACTTTTTATTGTACAACAACACCAAAACATCAGCTAAATAAGTAAGGTGATGCTCCCATGAGAGACTATAGACTAGGATGTAATAAAAAAAAATACCAAGACATTTCTTCTTAACCATGGCTAAAAAATATAATTCATGGTAGAATGAAAAGTCGATGGGGCATTCATAAGACCAAAAGGCATAAGAAGTACTAGTAGTGCCCATCAAGTCTATGAAAGGCAATTTTAGGAGTATCATTTTCCTTAAGTCGAATTTGATGAAAACTGAAATTAAGATCAATTTCAAAATAGTACTTTGCTCCATGCAATTCATCTAATAACTCATTATACACAGGAATAAGATATTTATCTAGAATCATTACTTTATTGAGAGCTCTATAATCAACACACATTCCCAACGTGTCTTCCTTCTTCTTAACATGTATCACCAGTGTAAGAACCTGCACCGCTAAATAATTAATTAAATAAGATTATCGATGTCGGAGCATGAATTTGATAAAGATTACGTATAATTAAGGTAAGATAAATATTTAGAAAGACGAATAATGCTTAAAGCCGCTTTTCAGACGAAAAGTGCAGATGCCGGTTCTGCTTGGTATAAATGCATATCGGTGAAGTATCCCAAAAAATTATAATAAATATATTAATATTCCTAGAATAATATCCAGGACCAGAATATCGAGTTTTGAAGTAAGAATAATGAACATTGATGTCAGAACTAATACCGACTACGTATAAAACGTGTACCGGTAAAGTGCTGCGAAAATTATAATAAAAATATGATAATTCCTAGAAAAATGGCTAGGTTCAGAATATGAAGTTTGAGATTAAAATGATTAGCGGAGCTATTAGAACTAATACAGATGGATTAATTTAATAAGCCTATAAATACTAAGTGTGCACTAAACCCTAGGCTGATTCCACAAATTCCTACGTGACATTCAGAAGTTTCCTTGAGTCCTCCACCTTGCCACCACCTTCTTCTTCAAGAAAAATCCCCAAGTGACCACCTTTCTCCATGCTTCCTTCACCAAAATACCATTGATGAGTGTGAGCAAGCTTTGTGAGGGAGTGATGCAACTCATTTTTGAGTGTAGCTACTGTGTGGTGAGGGGTTGAGGGCTGACTTCAATAGTTAGTGGTGTTGGAGTCTTGTACTTGGCATTTGTAGCTTCAAGGAGCTATTTTGTGAAGAAAAAGACCAAACTTGTGAACCATTTTCATGGTCTTGTAAGGTCAGAGTGGTAGAGCTGTGTAGAAATCACTAAGACACCTTCCTTCTGCTGTTTTGAAGCCTTGAGGTATATTCCTTACCTTTGTTCTTGAGTTTTCTTGTAATCAAGTCTTGGCATGCAAAATGAGATGATTAAGTAACCAACATGAACCTTAGCTTAAATGTGTCTAAACATGCATGTTGGAATGTCTGGTAACACTAAAAATGGAACCTTGGAAGGATATCTTCGTGAAAATACAGAACTGAATTCTGTCGTGAAATATCCGAATGTGGATATCCGGATATTGGGTCTTTGATATCCGGATATGGATATTCGGATATTGATCCCGTGATATCCGAATATGGATATCCGGATATGTCCCCGTGAAATATCCGGATATTCTGGGAATTTCGTGTTATGAGTTGTTCTGTCCAAACAGAAGCGTAGATTGGGATTCTGGACCCTTAATTGGTTAGTATGGACCTCTGGAATAATTAAACTAAGTCAGAACCTAAGATACTGAAGGCTTATGGCTTTGAGAGAAACCTATGGTCTTTAAACGAAAAGGAAAGCATTGTCTTAAAGTAATAAACTCCTAGATTATGAATATTGATAATGTTTCTAGTATAAACAGATTGTGATTGTGCTGTTTGGTGACTGTGGACTTGTATGAACTCTTAGTTGGGACTGTTAGCTTGACATATAAGCTTTCGTGTCCTCAGTTTTGCCCATTGTTGGTTCCACCATACCTCATGAAGGGATGATTTATATGCATGATGTGTTTTTCTGAAATTATGTGAAGAATATTTGATATGCTTTTGAGCTATTTATGAGTGCTAATGCCATATGCTATGTACGTCAGGTGTTCCACCTAGACGGTAATCCCTGAGTATGTGGCAACATACAAGATGGTAATTTCGTGGGTGAGGTACAAGCGAGGAGC